CATTTTTTATTATCATGTTTGTTAACAAAAATACAAACAAACTGAAGAAAAGAACATTCGATATCAAACGAATATGCATCATCATACATCATGTTTTTTTTTTGTCGAAATCCATGGTTTTTAGTCTCAAAACTACGTGCTGTGATCTTTCTTTTATGTATTGTGTCTGGAGCATCTCGTTTCAATGACCACCAGTAATCAGCCATCATGCTGATGTTCCACCTTCCCTGATGATATCTTGATGAAACCTTTCCAGATGTTTCAGGTTGAAAACAATCCCTATCATCATTTCTATTCATATCAGAATCAGATGACACTGTATCAAGAGTCTCCAGTAGAGTATGTACAGATATATCAGGTGCACGAGCAACAGGTCTTATAGCAGATTTGTTATTTATAAAATAGGTCAAGTTGACTACCTACCTTCCCTGTCGTCTGTCATTTCCAAATTAGGAACAGCTAGAGCAGATAGCCCTCAACAAAAGCAGACAAACATTTCATGACTGACAATAGATCATCTTATGTGTTTGTACGCAGCACCTTCTTCACTTTTTTAAAGTATTTTTATATTAAATAAAATGCAACGTTTTTTGATTGTGATGAAGTACATACTGTTAATATTGCATTCTTAGATGGTGTAAGAAGATTTAGATTATTGGTAAAAATATTTTTAGTGGTTTGGTTTGAAACCATAAAAGAATGATTGTACTTTTTATTTTCAGGTTTCACGTGTTTGACTGGTTTTCATTCCATTCTTTTTGTAAGTTAACTTATCTTGATGCTGACAAGATCATGCCGATGTTGGAAGGAGCTTTGAACTTCTTGGCAACGTTGATGACATTTCATGCAAAGCTTGGTAACTCCATTTTAATAGTAACTTTAAATTATTAGCTCTAAAAAAATTAATTACATTTATATTTATTTGAATCCATCATATTTGTAGCTTATTTGAACAAATAATAGTTTAATTATTAGCAGAATATATAAATCAACCTTGCAATATTTGCAAAACTTTTTTATGATATAGCCTTTATGATCATACAGGCCTCCGATGGTTTTATTGTCTTGAAGTTTTTACATGTTCTACAGAAATTCCTGTACGCAGAATTCAAAAATGATATCCATTATTCTCCATCACGTACAGACTTTTCACAAAACGTCATATGCACTGTTACATAAGTGAATCATTTTCATTGAAATTGGGTCACATTTTGTTATGCTTAAAATGTTGACAACCACTGGCTATAGATTTCTGTGGACCAATCACGAAGTGAGAATCTTATCACACCACTAGTATATAAACAGTTAACGGGCCACGTGATGTGTCATTTCTGGATAGTATTTGTTTGTGTGTGCATTTTGACATTATGTTTTTCTTTTCAATATTATTTAATTGTTGCTATGGCAACAAGAGGTTGTGTAAATGACTCAAACATATTCTGTTATATTTGTGGTAAATTTGTTGTAAAGAAACAAAGGCAAAATGTTACAGAATTCATCAAACAAGCATATTACGTTTATTTTGAAATAAAACTTTGGGACTAAGGCAAATCATGGAGTCCACACAAAGTTTGCACTGTTTGTGTCAAATAGTTAAGACAATGGACTAAAGGTAACAAAAAGATTTTGCTTTTTGGAATTCCAATGGTCTGGTGTGAGCCTAGAAACCATAGAGATGTCTGTTATTTTTGCTCGTGTAACGTGGAAGGCTACAACACTTGAAATAAAAAGTAAATTTCTTATCTGAACCTTCAATAAATAGGTGGACTGACAGTTATATAATAATGCCCCTGCAGCTGTTTCAGCCATGGAGGCATTATAATGTGATGGTCAATTCCACTATTCATTGGTAAAAGAGTAGCCCAAGAGTTGGTGGGGGATGGTGATGACTAGCTGCCTTCCCTCTAGTCTTTCATTGCTAAGTTATGGACAGCTAGTGCAGATAGTCCTTGTGTAGCTTTGTGCAAAATTCAAAACAAACCAAACCTTTCAACATTTATAGAAAAGCATACAGAAACTTCTCCTCATAGATAATGTATTATACCCTTGTGAAAATTGTGAACAATCCCTAAAAAGAAATATTTATTTTAAATCCTCTTCTTTAACTTTTATTAATAACAGTATCAAAATACTATGACTCCTTGACCCCTAGTGGTGTCAGACAAAAGTTTTTTGTTTTTTTTTTCTATTGTCAGTCCTTTATGAAGAAAAATGTATTTTACTTCATAGTTTGCTCTTCCACAACACCATTTTCACAGCTGTTCTATAGTATTTCATGTTCCTGTTGAAGTATTTTTATTTAACACTAACCCCCAAGCATAGTTCTGATGCATCTCTGAGTACTATTGATGCTTAGGTTTGCTAGAAACTACTAATTTTGTAAGAGAGTTAACTCGGAATATTTAATAAAATCAAACCATATTTCTAAAGTTAACTTTGAATTTCTGAATTCCTTCTGATATATATTTGTTTGTTTTTTACCCATTAGGAATCTCTAGACATCAGCAAGCAAGTTCTCTCATGCTGTCTTTCTGCCCTCGAGGACTGGTTTGATGCAATAAGCTTTTCTTTATCTGATCAGGTGAGAATGATTAAACTAGAAGATACAGAGGTTTTTATTACCCAGAATGAATGCTATTTCTGAAATAAACTTCTAGGGTTAAATTAGGGATGTAATTGTATTTGTCTTTATTCTTGGCAGTTGGTTATCTATATCAAATGCATTTTTCTAAATAAATAAGGATAAAAATGGAAATGTTTATCTAATCCTTGTACCTTAATTGAAAACCTGAAGTTTGTTCGTTATATCATATTTACACACAACTTGGGTAACTTGGTTTCGTATTTAATGTTATATATATTAAATAAAAAAACATTAAAAGAGACAAATAAATAAAATATTCTTGCTTTAACATCTGATTTTGTGAATCAGAATAACTATTTTAGTAATTTGAAAGTGATTGAACTGATAGTTGAATTTCTAAAGAGCTATAGAGTAAGGCTGTATCTTCCCTTGTTTGTATGTTTCTTTTAGCACCCATTATTAAAAAACAAATTTGTACTAATTTGGCTGTTTAGTTCACATAAAACCACTTGTTATAGTTCCTTTGTTGTTGGCCCAGCATGGTCAGGTGGTTAGGGCACTCGACTCACAATCTGAGGGTTCGCATCCCCATCACACCAAACATGATCGCCCTTTCAGCCGTGCTGGCGTTATAAAGTGATGGTCAATCCCACTATTCGTTGGTAAAAGAGTAGCCTAAGAGTTGGCAGTGGGTGGTGCTGCCTTCCCTCTTGTCTTACACTGCTAATTTAGGGACGGCTAGTGCAGATAGCCCTTGTGTAGCTTTGTGTGAAATTCAAAACAAACAAACCCTTGTTGATGTGCTTTTGAGTCAGTAAATATTCATGGTTTTTTACTCTTGTTACCTTGAAGATGCTTGATAACATCTGGAGCAGGATGTTGGTCATTTGATCCATTAGGAATAAAATGTTGAGTGTAAACTACTTAAGATAGAAATTGCAGCTAATTGTAGAGAGAAGTTTTCTCCAATGTATCCTCTTGATGTGTATTCTTTTTGTGAAGAAGGTTTTGGAAATTAGTTATATTTATATATAAAAACATCATTCAGCTTAGAATTTTGGGAAGATGCTGTGATTGAAGATTTAGGTTTACAGTCGTGTGAGCAATGATGACTGAGATTCTTTGTGTTTTTTGTTGATACTTAAAGTTATTTTTGTAGTTTTAATTTATATCAGTTGGGGAGTTTCATCCACTGGAAGGTTAAAGTACATTACTATCTTTAGATAAGTTCTAAAATCTTGTGTGATTTTTTTTTTTCTCTCTCTAGGCTATTCCAGACCAAGTATCCTTTCATTTGCCTCTCCATCGGTATTATTCTTCATTTTTATGTCAGGCTGTTAGCCACCAGGGGGCAACACTGACAGAACTTCTTCCCCGAAAGGAACTTTTACAGCAGCTAATGATCCATCCTCTTCAGGCAATAGTATGTTCTACATCAAAATCTATACTTAAAATAGTAGGAGTTTTAAAAGATTCACTTGGATTATGGGTAATTTCTAATACAAAACATTAATCTTAGTTTTATTTCTGTGAGTATTTATATTAATTTCTGCATTTTTAAAATGTGTTAAGACACATTCCTCCTAAAGTTTGTTTATATTCTAAGAAAATGTTCGCTGTGCTTGAGATATTTAAAGAAATGAGGCTACAAGTGTACTTATTTTGAAAATCAGTAAACATCTGTATGTGTATATCACTACTATATAACTTAACTTCTCTTACTCAGGTTGCATTCCATGAGATTTTATGCGGAATTTGGGTCCGTAACGGGTTGCAGATTAAAGGGCAGGCTATGACGTATATCCAGTGTCATTTCTGTAACTCCATGGTTGATGCTGATCTGTTTCTTCTGCAAGTTTGTGCCACTCATTTAGACCCTGACTGGTTCCTACAAACTGTATTACAGAGGTAATGTTATTTGAATAGGTAAAATTGAAGTATAAACATATTAGTTTTATCATTCATAGAACGTTTTACTTAAAACATGCACAATAGATATTTTTGATCTGATTAAATTAGTTTGTTTTTGTTGTTTTATAATTTTAGAAAAATATGGGCAAATTTGATATAATTACTAAATTGATAAATGACTGTTGACCCAAAAACAATATATTGTTTTCTCTTTATGGTCAGAGTGATTAAAGGGTACACAGAAATCATGGTTGAGAAAAACACGAAGGATATCCTCTTGAGTACTTCCATTGTGGGCAGAGCAAAGATAGCCCATTGTGTAGCTTTGTGCTTAAGTTCAAACAAACAATCCTGTTCAATAAAAGATCAGCGTTCCTTCTTCAAGAGTGAGCAGGAAGTGTAAAGTTTGAAAGTTAGTTAAGTAGTTATTTAGTTAAGTAGTTATCAGTAACCCACCTTTACAACACAGAAGCTGTTGTAGATGTTCATTGATTTTCATGCAAGGGAACATTGTATGAAAGGGGGCTCAGGGGGAGTGTCTTTTAACTTATTCAATGAGGCTAATACATATATGGCCTCTAAATGTTATTTCATGTTCACTGCATCAACTCATCAGAATCAATGCTATCTAGTAAATCCATAAAATAATCGGAATCTTCCCCAGCTTTGGTGGCGCTTGCTGCCACAGTAGCATTTGGTGGCGCTTACTGCCACATTAGCGAGATATTGTTGTACAAGCTTCTTTGACATCTTGAACATCACATTACGTAAGGGAATTTTAAAAGCAGGAATCCAGACACAACCAGCCGCAGTTGTTGTACAAGCTTCTTTGACATCTTGAACATCACATTACGTAAGGGAATTTTAAAAGCAGGAATCCAGACACAACCAGCCCGAGTGAACAAAAAATGGAGTGAAAGAGTGTTGTAGGTGTAACATTGAATTTCATGCAAGGGGGAAAGGGAGGGTTGGAGAAAAGGTTCTGAAAACTAACAATAAATGAAAGTTCAAATGTTTGAGGATTACAAAATATGTAAAAAAAAATTCTATTAAACGATTTAAATACATTACTAGTTAAAATTAATTAGAAGCTTAAAGAAAGAATTTTATATACTTGGTGTGTGTGTATATAGATATACACACATGTATATATAAATACAAACTCAACAAAATTTTAACTTATTGGAAAAAATTAAAGGTCAGAGATCACTGATTCTAGACACACATTTCTTTCATCTGTGGATGGTTTAAGTTTAGCCAATACTTAAGAGAATAGTGTAACTTGTAGAACTAGCATGTTGAAACATTGAAATATCGGACAATGGGTAACATCTGTATACTTAGTAGTTCTTTATAAAAGAAAACTGACATACGTTTATATCAACTATTTCCATAGTTAACTTTCCTTCATGGTCTAGTGCTTGACTTGCAGAACTGAAACCCAATAATGAACATACTTGCTATTGAGCAAGCATGTTCGGTGGGACTGGGATTCAACATTACGACCCTCAGATTGCAAGTCAAGCACCTTAACCACCTGACCATGCTGAGCCTTACCACATGGCTTACTAGGCCTAACCACCTAGCCATGTTGAAAGGACATCATTTCCTATTGATATATAATTTGTAGAAGTAGTGACAAGCAGAAACTTCGTCAATGTTTGTAGACTTAAACACTTGTTTTCAGTTTCCAAAAAGTTGCTTGGGGAGAGGTTCACAAAAGAAGTCTATGCTTTGTATGCTCCTGAAAATGTCCAAGTTTGTGGACAAACCCTCAGTGGATCTCTTACTTTTGTTTCTCAGTGTATTGGTGTTTTCTATACGAAACAGTTGCAGTGCTTAAAATTTTATGAGATCGTCAAAACTGCATAAAAGTGTGTTAAAAACTGGATTGAAATATTTCTTTACACATTCAAACAATGTCTAAGTAGCTTGGACCCCATGCCCTAATAAACAGCATTCGTACAACTGGAATATTACAGCTCATTTATGTAGATTTCAAAATATATATATACATGAAAGTTGAGATAGTAAAGGCACATTGTAAGATTAAACTGGATACTTAAAAACTTTTAGAATCATGTTGTTTCAGTAGAACTTCAGGCAGAGTGGACTAGTAGGTCTGAGAACTGTAAAAGAATGCAACTGCCTGTTGAAAGAAGGCCTCAGTATAGAAGTTGAAAGTCATTTTCTTTTTATTTCAATAGGCAGTCGTAGTCTATCAAAGTTCTCAAACCTTTCAGAATTAACATTTTTTTTTTATCAAGGTGTTCATTTTAATAATATACTTTCCTCAATGGGTACAAAATGTCTTCCAAGTAATTTTTATTACCTATGACAGTTAACAGAAGTTACCACCAAAGTCCCGATATTTTTTGTAGTGTAAATAGTTTAGTAGGCATTAACTGATACATTCTCTGAATTACTGCCATGGTGGACACAGCACAAATAGCCCATTTTGTAACTTTGTGGATAAAAAAAACAAAAACATGCTTCAGTTACATCTACTTAACAGACTTATTTTGACAGTTATTTTACTGAGTTTATCATAATTACCTTAGTAAAATGAAAATTGAGACATTATTTTGACACCGTATTGTTTTTTTTGTCCTCAGTACTACCAACACCATTCATTCAGTTACAAATGAAACATCAATCTACTAGTATTTATATCTACCAGTAATATAAGCACGGTACATTTTAACAGAG